AAAGGAACATAAAGTGAAGCAGGTCATGTGACAAGGATTGCTTGTGTTGTCCCTATGTAGTAGCCCTTTGCCTGATCAACTGAGCTTGCAAAAGGACAACAAATATATATTTTTTTTCTCTGACCATTCAGAACAATTGGTCCATAAAGTGAGCAGAACCAGCCCTTCCACACGGGGACAAAAGGAAAATAAAAGTCTCACAGCAGTGCTTAACGAGCATTTAGGGGGGGGGGTAGAAAACCTGAGGAACCAAGTGACACTTTCTGTGAACAGCTGATGCAAAAAGAAGACAGGGTTGAGTTCAAGGAAGCAAAAATATGAAGGGTCAAGCCTCCAAGGATTGTAGGAGTCAACAATGTTCTATGGTGCTCTGCAAAGGGAGCAAAGCAAGACCTGTTGCCTCTCCTGGTTGCCTTCCGGGCAAGTCTCTTTCTCTGGATATTTGGGCTGGACTGGAAGAGCTTTGGGGTCAAAGCCCCCTGATCTGCTGAATTTCAGATAGGGAGGTTGTAAATAAAACCTGAAGCCTGTAACCCAACATGCTCATTGTGTCCATAAGCCAGGCTCTCCCATCTCTAAATGGACATGTGCCAAGGGTCTGCTTCACAGCTCATGGGATCAGATTGCCACAAAATTAGATCCCAATAGAAGCAGCCCACCAAGATCCCTCTGCTTCTGAAGACAGGATGTCTTGGCACCTTGTACCTGCGTGGAGCAGCTAAGTGAGAAAAACAAGTTTGTGAAATATGAATACAAGCAGGTTATTTCCAGGCTGTGGTTTCAAATCAGATAGATGTTATTCAGCTGCAGATGAGGGGTGAGGAAGCTGGCAAAGCAGAGAGCTGAAAAAAAGCTGCTGTGTGGCAAGCTCCCATAAGATAGGAATGTACAGGAGAAGTCAGTGAGGTCTGCCTCTTGAATTAAATATTAGGGAATGCAATAAGTGGCTAGTCTGTGCTGAATGGGCAATCTGATGCTTGCTTAGTTCTGTGGCTTTTGAAAAGTGCTCTCTGTCCTTGGTGACATCCATAGGAAATACCTTCCAGAGCAAGAAAGGAACCTTTGTAATGTGTAAGCAAAAGGTAGGGCTGGTGGCCAGGAGACTTCCTTCCATCACCTCTCTACAAGCAGCTGTGTGGTCTTGGTTGCCCAAATAGTCTGGGGGCAACTGGAAAATTCCCTACAAAGTTTTGCTGATTTAATCTGTAAAAAAAAAAAAAGGTCCAGAAAAGCATAGTGTATGCAGCAGCTAACAGGCAATCTGGTCACCAGCATCTCAGTCAGCAAGGGATTTTTCTGCAAAGAGAAGCTTTTAAAAGGAGTGGGAAGTAAGCCCCGTGAAAGGAGGATGACTGTAAGCACACAAGATGGCTCCAAATGGATTCTGACCTTGTTACGGCACTATTTTAAAAATAAATGGCATATTAAAAATCTGTAGGTGAAAAAGGTAGTCTGTACAATGAGCAGTCCACCACAAGAGGCAGGGTGTTCCTTCTGAGATACCTGAAGGTGATGGTCTCACTTCCAGGCTGAAGTGAGTAAATGGGGGTAGAAAAGGGAAAAAAGACCAATGCAGTTGCACAGACTACATGTCTATTTATATGCCTGTACTATAAGAATCTGTACGGCACAGTACGCAAGCTCATGTTTATGCTACGTGCTGTTTATTCACCTGTGTATAAGGTTCATTTATTACCACTGTCTTCTTGATAAATTGGAAAAAAAAACCTCTTGAGCTCAGAAGGTGCACTTTTCCTTCAGAGCCACTGAGTGTCACCATCGCTCCGTGGCTTGCTCTGCAAGACGCCGTTTCTCCAGGGAATAAACCTCCTTTTTAAAAATGGGCTGGAAGGGGGGGGGAGGAATTCGAAAGAAAATGTGCTGCTTCTTCCCAGAGCTGCGAAGAGCTGCACCTAAAACGTGAGCTATCTACGCAATGAATTCTGCCTCATGTGTAGGCAAAGCATTTGACAGGTTTCCTGCCAGACCCCCTAAACCAGGCTTACAATTCGCAGCATGATCCTCAGTGACAACAGTTACGGGACTGAACAAGTGCTTTATCGGGAGACACCAAAAAGGCTGGGATCTCACCATCTGGGAAGCAGAATAGACATTGGCCAGGTGCACCTGCTTTCCCTGAAAGTATTAAGGGCAGCTGAACCTGGTGGACTGAAAGGTCCAGGGGCTTCCTTTTTTTCCTGGGTCAGTGGAGGTGAATGAGAGCTTTCTTGTTTCACACCCCAGCAGTAGCAGAGTGGTGTGCCAGACCACAAAAGACTTGTACACATAGGTTAATCTGACGGGAGACAATACTTCAGCCGTATGAGCACAGTGTCACTGGCCTGATCCTGTTCCTAAGGACCAGCACTCAGAGAAATGCATTTTCATAGGTCTCAGGTTTTTGGCCCTATAAACTTTTCATTCTACTTGCTGATTAGACAGACCTCATGCACAAAACAAAGAGCACAATAACACGGGAAACAATTAAAATAATTTATTAAAAATGTAATGCAGGCTCCGGTGATCAGATACGCATCTTGTGCAGACAAACATACCGATTGCATTTGACTGGCTTTGTTTATACCTACTTTCTCTCCATTTGATCCACCTTGATCCTACCATTTCCCTGCTTGTGATTTTTACCCCAAGCATATCAGTGCAGTTTTGAAAACCCTAAAATTCTCTTTATCGGTCTCAACATCCCCCCACAGCTGCTAACTACTCCCCCTCGTAAGTCCTAAAGCCTCTTTATTGCAGTATTTTCCCCTAGTCGTATTGCAGTAACTGCCCTTCGTTTGCATACATTCCAGAGTTTCCTCCTTTGAATCCACTTCAGTGGGTTTTGCAAGTGGGACAAATGGCTTAGTCGTTCATCCAGTTGTTGGGGCTTTTAGGCGTGGTTGATTCACAGGGATTACTCTTTGCTGGGTTTCCTGCCTTGTCATTGTTTCTTTGTTCGCTGTCTGAGCTTTTGTTTTGAATAACCTTAAATATCTCCTTGAAAATCAGCCAGACGGTTTTCCATCTGAATTGAAAAAGAACCCTCAGCATTTAGAGCAAGTATGTTTGGTAACAGCCCAAATGCCCTCCTGTACGGTGTGTTTTGCTGCTTTTTAGGCAGCAGCAAATATTATTCTGCGATTCTAAGTAAATGGGAATTCACTGCAATTCATAATGGGAATATTTTTTCCTGTTAACTGATAGCCCAGCACTGTCATTACAGAGCCAGATGCAACTTTCTTGCAACATGAAGGTCAAAGATGCCATTTGCAGGAGTATTTATGGTGCTTATAGCCTCAGTGGTGCTCGAGCTTCTGCACCTTGTACATGTGGATGGAGCGTGACGCATTCCTGTTTGTCTTTTGCTGCATCCCACTTGTCCTTGATGCACGGGATGGCATTCTGAAAGGAAACTCATCAGCTCTCATCAAGACGAGCCACTGGCCTGACCCGATGGGCATTTATTTTCCTAGAAACAAATATGTTGATCGTAAAATCATAGAATGCTTTGAGTTGCAAGGGACATTAAAGATCATCTACTTCCAAACCAAGAGGGCATGGGCAGAGACACCATCCGCTAGACCGGATTGATCAAAGTCCCATCCAAACTGGACTCAAACACTTCCAGGGATGGGGCATACACAGCTTCTCTGGGCCACTTGTGCCAGTGCCTCAGTACCCTCACAGGAAAGAATTTCTTCCTAATAGTTAATCTAAACCTGCTCCTCTTCCTTTTGGAGCCATTGCCCCTTGTCCAGTCACTGCACGCATACATATTTCCTCTCCACTTACCATCTAAAGATGACAACATTACGGTTAAAAATTCATAAGTTTGCCATAGTCAACCACTCATACCCTAAACCAGCCAACTGACAGGCAACAAACTGATGCTCTTTTGAGAGTAATCAAGAGAAGCAAGGTCCAAGTGCCTGCACAGTGCAGCTTCTCTTCTAAAAGCTGCCAGCGAGCTCTGGCACTGTGGCTTTTTATGCTGTTCATGCAAGTTTCTACTGTGCACCTCTACGTGTGTATTCATATAGAAGGCAGAAAGCCTCCTGCTGTGATCCTGTTCACCAAAGCTTGTTGCAGGTACCAACACAAACAGTAAACAACCTACATTCTTCTCCCAGGCAGCTGAGGAGAGGACATAGTCTTTAGCTGCTGTGCCAGGGGATGTGTAGGCTGGACAACAGGAGGAATTTCTTCATAGAAAGGGTGATTCGACATTGGAATGGGCTGCCCAGGGAGGTGGTGGAGTCACCGTTCCTGGAGGCGTTTAAGGAAAGATTGGATGTGGCACTCAGTGCCGTGGTCTATTGCCATGGTGGTGTTCGGTCACAGGTTGGACTCAGTGATCTCAGAGGTCTTTTCCAGCCGAACTGATCCTGTGATACGTGAACCGACTAACACGTAACAAGGCTGATCAGTCTGCAGAAGGACGGACGGTAAAGCGAGACCCGGCAGAGGGGACACCCGGCAGAGGGGACACCCTCTCAGGCTGGCGAAGAGCGCTGTGCGCCCGCCGAGCAGCCGGGCTGTGACTCTCATCAGCACCGAGATGCCCCGGTGCCAGCCCCGCAGGCCCAGCAGGCAGCAGCGGGCGAGGAGCGGGGCCGGGCCGGGCCGGGCGCTGCTCCCGCCGCCGCCGCCGGACCGCGGGCTCCGCTCCGTCACCCGGGCAACGGGCAAGCGGCGCCCAGGGAGGGCACCACGTGCCCGGAAGCGCCTCGAGGGAGGAAGTGACGGAGCGCCGGGGGAGCCCCAGAGGCCGAGATTTAAAAAAAAAGAAAAAAAAAAAAAAAAAAAAAAAAAAAAAAAAAAAAAAAAAAAAGAAAAAAAACCCAACAAAAAAATTCAAAACAAGGAAAGGAAGCAAGGGATTAAAAAAGAGGGATACGGGGGGAGGGGCGGGCGGAGCGGACGCGGGTTCCGCCCCTTCGGGGCCGCCCCACCAGACCGCGGCACCGCCGGAGCCGCCGCCAGGTCCCGCCCCCGGCGGGGGGCGGCGGAGCGGAGCGGGGCAGAGCCACGGCGGCTGCAGGTGAGGCGGGGCCCGGGGCGCGGGCGGCCGCGGCGGGGAGAGTTCCCCGGGGCCGGCGCGGGATGGAAGTTGACAGCGGCGGCGGAGCAGCCATTGTCTGCCCGGCCCGGCCCCGGGCAGCTCCCCCGCGCAGCCCCGCTCCCTCCCCCGGGCAGCCGCCGCCCGGCTCCGGGCATCCTGCGGCGCATCCCGCCTCCCGCCGCGGCGGGGCTGCGGGCACGGCACGGGCGGGCAGGGCGCCCGCACGCCGTGTCGGATGAACTTTGCTGCCGGAGTTGCCGGCGGCCTGGGTGGCTGCCGCCGCGCTGTCCCCTTCCATCCTCCCCTCCTTCCATCCTTCCTTCCCTCCCTCGCTCCCGCCGCCGGCCGGGCGAGGCGCTCGGCGGGGAAAGGCGGTCTGGGCACCGAGGGTGGGGACCAGGTGGTGCGAGGGTCCTGCAGTGCTGGAGCGTCGCGCCCGCCGCTGCTTCCAGAGCATCCCAGAGCAGAGCCAGCTTGTCCCGGCAGTCCCACACCTCTGCTTATGTGGCTTGGAAACTGTTGTGGAAACATATAGTAGCAGCAGCGAATATGCTGTACTACGGGGTGCTAGCTTTGCTTCTCCAAACGCGTGGTGTAAACCCGTGTAAATCTTACGTGTTTCCTAACTTAGCTTCTCAAGGATGAAGTGACAGAACCACTTAGGAAAGTTAGAAAATGTTATGCAGGCAGCAGTCATGTCCCGGGGGAATGGATGGGGTGAGCAAGTAAAACTTTTCAACCTCCTACCTAGTGCTTAGTGATAAGAGTATTGTTTGGCTTGACTTTTGTCTGCCCTGTGCTTGAGAAAGGTCAGGAACTTGTAGGTGGGCCACCTGTGGTGTTCTCGGTGTGTGCTGAGATCAGCAAGTGTGGGTTAGGCTCTGGAGTGGCCCATGTTCTCATGCTTGTATGCTGCCTGCGCCCGTTTTCTCCCTTCTCCTTCCCGTCCTTGTTGCTGTGTGGTCATTCCTGCCATGGTGCTAAAAAGCTTTTGTATCCTTCTGTATCTGCCTTTTGGGGATACAGTTCTAGCTATTGTTCAAAGGTTAATTTCCAGTAGTGACCACGTTGTTAACTGTGTGTTGGTTTTCCTTTTTTGGTTTGTTTGTTTGGAAAATCCATGGTTTAATAATTTTTAGTAGGTTATCCATCTCACGGAGCAGCTAGCTGAGTCAAGTGATTTGATAGCCCAGTGATCACCAGGTTTTTGTAAGAGGAAAGTGCTTGGGGATTGGAGTTGGAGGAGGGGAGAGTGTGTAATTCTCCTGTTTGGGGATTGGAGTTGGAGGAGGGGAGAGTGTGTAATTCTCGTGTTTTGTGTGGAAATGGGCTGTGTTTGGATCGGATTACACTAGCATGGAGCTGCATCCTTAGATGAACTTGCTTGGGGAAGTGCTGTGCCTTTTCACTTTTGTGTTTGGAAAGAGTTTTGCTGGATAACTCTCTTTGCTGTAAGTGACTTGAAATTCTTACTGCCCTTCTGCAAAGCAAGTGTATGGTTCTCTGTCCACGCCTCCAAAAGGCCTTCTGTCTACAGAGAGACCAAAATTTTTCTATGTCTCATGCCAGAGGTGTTTCAGTAAGATTCTCTTTATGCTAGGACCTGATTTTAATAAGATCTAGATCAATATGGGACTCTCAAAAATGCTGGAAATCTTAGGAATCCGTGGTGCTGCTTCCTGAGGAAACACAGATTGACTGGTGGAGCAGAGCACCAAGGCAGGAGCTTGGCTTCTCCTGGTGAAGCTGTTGAGGGCAAGGGTGTTTGCTGTAGCTAAAGTGAACATCAGTTACATCCTTTCCTCTCTCACGGGCACTTGAGGCATCACAAGTAAGGTAATTTAACCTAGTGATCTGGCAGAAAATAGGATTTTAGGGTACCTTTTCTGCAGCTACCAAGTTGATCTAATGAGCCCCAGAAGGTGAAGGAGGAGGATCTGCATTGGGAAGTTGAGGTGGGCAAGGGAACATAAATTGTCTCGTAATGGCATCTGAGCTACTGGAGAACTTGGTGCAGTGTGTATAGCTTCATGTGCATTTTAACCCCACTCAAAGTACTTTATCCACCACCGTTTCATTTTTTCAAAAAGTCTGTATTCTCTCCATTCTCACTGTTTATTTTCAGGCTTCACTTCATTTTTCCTCTTGGGTGAAGATCTTTAAGGCAGTTGCTTCTCCAAGAGCTTTTATATTCTAGGTAGGTTTATTGACAAGCTGTTTCTAGCCGAAATAGGGTTGTGCCTGAAGACAGCAATGGCCAGTTAGGAGGAGATGTGTCTCAGTTGAGGAGAAGGTGGCCACTGCTGAAGCAGTGCAGGAAGTCAGTTTTGCATCAGCAGGGAGATGCCTGGGCAGGGCTTGAGGGCAGAGGTGAAGATGTATTTGGAAGACCAGACTGGACCAGCAGCACTCTGCTTGCCAGTTAAAGAATTTTCAGATTTTGAGGAGCAGCAGTTCCCTGATTTAGCCACCCATCCTCTGCAGAGTTAATGCTGTTGTCCTACTTTAAAGTCATGTGCTGCCCTTAGCACCATTTCAGAATTTAAAAAGTTGTCTGGCTGAGAGTATTGTTGCGCCCCCTTTTCTGCTGCACAGGTCTGTTTGCTTATACATCAGGAAAATGTTTGGTGAAGGTTGTAAAGCTCAGAATCTCTGGATTTAAAAAGGGGTAGGTACAGGGGCTGTGCTGGTGCTCTGGCTCCTGGAAGCTCATTTACAGGTCTCATTTAGAGGTCTCAGATATGCTACAGAAGAACCAGCTGGTACTTTGGAAACAAATAGGCTGTCTTGGTGACAATAAGACTTAACCAGAAAAAAATTTAAAAATCTTACGTGGAGTTTTAACCTTCTGAACAGTCAGGCTGGTTTTCCTTTGTTCCAGTGGAATTCTGTTTCAATTTTTCTCCCTTTTCTGACTCTAGCCCCTCCTGCTCCCTGTGTTGCTCATGTTTCTTGCTGCAGGAAACACCCTGATCATCTCAATGTGCTACTCTTTTGCTAAGCACTCTCTTCAGTCTCGCTTCTCTTCCTCTTACCTGATGAAAGCCTTCTCGAGTCCTTTCTCAGTGCTGCAATTCACTGCAATTCATCCTGCTGCTGGAAGGTCTCCCTGGTTCTGTGTGACCTCTTCAGCAGCTTTTGCCTCACAAGTGTTGCCAGTGAACACTTCATCCACTCTGCTTCTGACTCTGTTTCTCCTGAAAGGAACTTGCCACCACATACCAGCTTCTAATCTAATATTCAAGTTAAGATCTGTTGCGAGCAACAAGTAGCTGGAAAGTTCGTGTGATCAGAAGAAGAAAGAGTTGAGGACTGAGGGCTAAACTGAGAGAAAGAGGGACTCGGTGTCAGTAGGGCATTGGAGCTGAGGGACTGGAGGAAGAGAGGGTCAGAAATTGCCAAAGTGCATTGGAGGACTGGAAGCACAGTGCAATTTGCCTCAGTTTGCTAGTCTCTATTGAAAGGAGAGGCGGTCAGGTCTGTAACCAGAATTGTTTCAGTGAGCTGCAGCTGCTTCTTCATTCCACTACCTTTTTAAAAGTTCAGGATACTGCAGCTTGCAACTATAGCATGGCAATAAAAGTATGAGAATATGCACATTATGTTTCTGATGGTCGTAATAAAAGATTTAAACTGTGAGTAAGATTTCTGGGTGATTTTAGAACCCCAGCTTCTCTGCTACATTCTTTGCTTCAAAGATTTGCAAGGAGACTGGTATTGAAATATTGTAGTACAAAAGCTGTGTAATGTAGTGAAATACAGTTTGGTTCTTTCTGCAGCCTGACTTAGTTTCCAATTCTTTCAGTGTAGATCTGGAGTCCATCTCAGCCTGAGCTCCTGGGATCCTGTCGCCATGGAGACCGAAAGTGAGCAGAACTCCAACTCCACCAGCGGGAGCTCCAGTTCTGGAGGAAGCACCCGGCCTCAGATCTCGCAGATGTCTCTCTATGAGCGACAGGCAGTACAGGTGAGACATGGCTGTGCTCTGGGATGGCAGTGCATCACTGGAAGGTGGTGGTGAGCCCTTTTGTGTTCCTCTGCGTTGTTGTGTGTCAAGGTGGGACCCTGCTTAGAGGACTGTCATCTTTTCAGATTTAGAAATTCTTATGCTAGGCCTGATGTTTAGTTCTTGTAGCCTGAGGCTTCATGTTTTATAGGTTACTCCTTCGTTGTCTGGCCTCCTAGATTTAATCTGTACTGTGATCCAACAGATTGGTTTTGGCATGCTGTTCTACAGCAAACCAGTTTACCATCTCAGTTCCTCTATGCCTTCCATACGCAAATTGTACAGGAGCACCTGTCTGCCTGTGTGAGCATGCACATCCCCAGATTCCTGAAGTTTATTAAAATCTTGCAAGTGTGATTCCCACTGTCCTGGAATACACCTGTGATTCATTGTGTCACCAAATTGGTAACTGTACCATGGATTTGCATGTGCTAATCTGGTGCCTGCTTCTTCATGTGCTCTAGGGATGTTCTCATGGCTTGCTTGCTTTGTCACTGCTCTCTTCAATCACATTTCAGTGGCATGCAGTTTTTGCCAATTGGGTTTTCTTCTTTATCTAGGCCCTGCAGGCACTCCAGAGACAGCCCAATGCAGCCCAGTACTTCCATCAGTTCATGCTCCAGCAGCAGTTTAACAGTGCCCAACTTCACAGCCTGGCTGCTGTCCAGCAGGTGAGTTGCCAAGAAGCAGAAGGAAAGGAGTTGGATCATTCTCTGGGGAAGATCCAGAGGTTGTGTTTTTATCCAGTGCCTTGTGCACCGAGTCATCCTGATCCCTGATGAGACAATGAGTTCCTAAACACATTGTTGTTTAGAGTTAATACAAACAGCCAGTCAACTGGAAGCCTGAAGCAAGGATTAATTTATTTTTTTGTCTACAGAGCAGGGGAAGATAAAATTTGGCATCACCATCAAGGAACTTGCACTTCAGAGGCCTATTACTACCCCCTGCACCTTCTTTAACTAAAAGATGGGTGGTTAAATCAGCAGCGGATGCAGTAGTGCTTAAAAACTATTAAAGGGATCAGTGGGTAGTTGCTTCTGTGAGAATAAACATTTGTGTTTGCATGAAGTTTTAGGCAGTGTTCTCTGAAATTTCTGTCTTGGAACTTAGTAGCCATGTTTTCTTTACCAGCAGGAGGGTAAGCCTGTCCAACCAGGAGGCTGTCTCTAATTGACACATATGCAGATAAATATAAATAAATATATTTTATAATATATAAATGTTGAGTGGGGTTTTTTTCTTTATCAACTTTGCTCACCTACTAGACTTAAATCATCAGTTCAAAATGGATTATGTGTGACATGAATACGTTATTTTTGTGTAACAATACCTCAGTAGCTGTACTCCTTGGCAGTTAGTCCAGGATGTCATTGTTCTCAAAATCCCTGACTTCAGTCTTATAGTATAGAAGAAATAGAATCCTCCCCTCAGTTTTGCACAAATCTTAGTTACAAAACTAACTAAACTCATTCAGGGGAATTCCCCTGGCATCAGAGAGGGGGAAATAAATCTATCAATATTTATGTTCTTCCACAAACCATATGCTCTCTAATCTGAATTTTGTTGCTTGAAGTGCTATCACTGCATTGCTACTAAGCTGCCTAATTAGCCCAACAAATTGCTAATATTGTGGGGAACGTCTGGGTGTTAACAGTGGATTCCAGCAGGGGGGTGAGGGTTGCAGTGTGTAGTATGACAGGCTGGGCAAGAGTAGTGCATGCACCCATGGGTGGAAGGACCAGAGGTCATACACTCTGAGGGTAAGGGACTAGGTGTTCTAACAGAGCCAAGTAATTGGGCTGGATTGAAAAGTTTGTTCAGGCACTCATTTCTCTGCCAATCTCTCCTGCAGGCTACAATTGCAGCCAGTAGACAGGCCAGCTCCCCCAACACTAGCACCTCGCAACAGACCACCACCACCCAGGCTTCTGTAAGTAAAACTGCTCCCTCACATACATCAAAACGTCCCTCCCCACCTTGTTCTGGCTCCTCCTTGTCTTTTAGGATGCACACAGCTTCTAAGAATCCTGGGAATCAACAAGATGCAGACAGCTTTGAGGATTTGGGATGCTGTTGTTATTGATGGGGCTTGAAGAAACCAGATAAGGTTTTTGGGTGGGTGATGCCTCTTAGCTGGAAAAGTAGACATGGATCTCTGTTTGCTGAGGCTTTGGGGATACATTATCATGGATTAGCAAAGGATCAGGACTTGTAAGAAGGAGGAGTCGCGAGTAGCTTTTGTTTTAGGTGGAGCAGTAGTTTGTTGAATGAGAGGATGTCTGGTTTTGTAGCGAGTGTCGAGGAGCTTGGATTTGCTCAGAGAGTAGATGAGTTGGTAGAGAAGGTTTTGTGGGTTTTTTGCCTTTACTTGGGAGGCTGGAGGAAATGATGTATTTTTTTGGATCTCTTATTGCAGTTGCATGCTAACAGTGATTCTCAAGCTCAGCATACAAATGAGGTCAGTATCCAGGGCTCTGGCTAATGTAGATTGTGTAGCCTGTAGGACAAGCCCTCTAAGAGAAGAACTTTCTTCTTCTTGGTCCCCTGTGGGATACAGGAAAAAACTGTAAAATATCTGTTCTGACTGTACCCCACTAAGTGTACTTGTGCTTATTTCCTGGCCTGCATCACTTCATATGTAATTTGAAGCTTTTTTCTCTTCTAAGATCAACCTTGCCACCACCTCAGCTGCTCAGCTGATCAGTCGGTCCCAGAGCGTGAGCTCCCCGAGCGCCACCACGCTGACGCAGTCTGTGCTCCTCGGGAACACCACCTCACCACCTCTCAACCAGTCACAGGCACAGATGTACCTGCGGGTAAGAGATGTGCATCAAAATGTGCCTGGCCATGAGCCCACTTAGCAGCCACTGCAGAGTTTCACTGCTTGCATTTACCAACGCCTGCAGACTAACCTAGCTTTAAGGATGTTGCTGTATGTGTTAAAATTGCATGGGGAAGCTCTCATCCCTGAAACCACAAGTTTGATTCTGGGCTCAGCCTTCGAGAATGTAAACAATGTGTCTCTACTCTGCATAGATGTTAAAGGTTCTATAGCACTTGTCACTAGAGTGTAAATGTGAAATACATGTCCTAGACTTGAATGTAGCTCACAGAAATAAAGCTGCTCTTCCGGTTCAGTGCTGGAACAGATACATAGTAAATTACTCTTCCACTGCTTGCTCAGCTCAGGGATGTAAGTCAGAATTCAAGTAAGCCTAGACAAATAAATCAATGTGAACAAATGTCATCCTTTTAATTGCTTTGAAGTGCAGCTAGGTAGAAAGCATTAGGTTTGACTGTAGTCAAGTCTGGGGTTTGGGTACCTACTTGCAAAATATTTTCTGTTTTCCAGTTGACTTCAGGTACAGATTGTAATCCCCTTCTTTTCAAGCAGCACTAATCTTGGATGTATGTTTTGTATCACTGTTGTTTGACCAGTTCTAGATACACAGCCTTGGGCAGTCTGTGGGAGCTAGCCCAGGCCTATGTTAGATAGAAGAGTGCTTGTTTCCATAAGGAACCTGTTCCCAGTTTTCCTGCTTCGGAGGGTTATGTTCAGTGTTACAGTGCAGGGAGGGTTGGTGGTTTTGTAATGTGTGACATTGCAGCCTAGTGTTCCTTTATGATCTGTTTGCTTGTGGTTTTTTTGTCTTCCTTTCTCTCTTCTGCCTCCATTCCTTTCACTGCACATCACCTGATCCTCAACAGCCGCAGCTGGGGAACCTGTTGCAGGTGAACCGGACCTTGGGCCGCAATGTGCCTCTCGCCTCCCAGCTCATCCTGATGCCCAATGGGGCTGTGGCTGCTGTCCAGCAGGAGGTACCACCCACTCAGTCTCCTGGGGTCCACGCAGACACAGACCAGGTCAGTGACCCTCCTCCCTTTCCCCTGCTTCTGCCACACCACACCACGCTCTGGGCTTTGTCTCAAGCTGTCCCTGTATAGCAGATTAGAGCTATTTTATCCCCAGCCCTTGTCCCTGTGCAGGCAGGAGATTTTGCCACCATGTTTTCATGTTTGCTTTCTGCCTCCAGAGATTAAATTAATTTCTGCTTAAAAGTTCTGAGGTGAGCACAGGCTGGATCAATCCCATCTTCACAGTTTCTTTGTTGTGATTGTGTGAAAAGAACTCTTGTGTTCTACATACAGTTTTCAGTCACACTGCAATTAAGTCTTTGCCTGAGGTAGTATTCCTTCATCCGGTTGGTTCATTGTTGTAAAGATGCCAAGGACTTGTCTTATGCAATTTTTTTTGAAGAAAAGTCAGCTGTGATCAAGTTTTGGAGATAATGTGGCATTTGGAGTGGAAGTAAATACAGAGGATGGCGGCACCAAAATGCAGAGTAAAATTGAAAAGGGTGTGGGCCACAAGTAGATCTGTGGCCTGGGGCAGGCAGGTGGCACAAAAATTGAAAATGAATGACTGGTCTTTAAAGGGGTAACTCAGTGCTTCTAGAGCTGTGCTGAACTACCCATGGCAGGGTATGGCAGGCAGGTCTGAAGTCTGTCCCGTGCCCTGGAGAAAGACCATGTCCCCAGATTTTGTTCACAAAGTGCCATGAGATCTTTAATTTCCATCAGAGATTGGGCAGGAGAGAGTTCAGGATAATGTGCTTCTTGGGGAGGGCCGTGCTGAGCTCTGCCCTGCAGTGTTAGCAGCTCCTCACATGAGACCTGAGGCATCAACTCAGCCTGCATCCCAGCAGAGTGTGTTGCTTACATGTACTGTCACACTCCTGGCAAGTACCACATATAAAGCACATGGATTCTGTTTGGTGTGTGTGTCTCTAGGTGCAGAACTTGGCTGTGAGGAGCCAGCAGACCTCTGCCACTAATGCCCAGCTCCAAGGCTCTGCTCAGAAGACAGCCCTGCCAGGAAGCTCCCAGGCTTCGGGCTTACCGCAGGCCACCAGCACGGGCCAGACCATGGCGGTGGCCCAGGCCTCCTCCAGCGGGGCAGGCCAGTCCCTCAACCTGAGCCAGGGAGCTGCGGGCAGCAATGGTGTCTCCGGGGGTGTGGTGGCCAGCGCTGGGAGCCAGCCCCCGATGGGACTGAGCCAGAGCTCCTCAGCAGGTGCCACTGGCAGTTGCCAGAGGAAGGGCACCGGCGTGGTTCAGCCGTTGCCGGTGGCGGCTGCCCAGGCCGTGACTGTCAGCCAGGGGAGCCAGACGGAGACGGAGAATGCAGCTGCAAAGAAGGGTGACACAGACAGTGCTGGACAGCAAACGGTGGGCATGAACCTCACCAGGACCGCTACACCAGCACCCAGCCAGACGCTGATCAGCTCAGGTAAAAAACTCATCTATTTTTTTCTCTTCAAAGTCATTGGGCCTTCACAAGAATGACATTCAGAAGCCTGGTGATAAAAGGTTTTCCAACACATCTCCCAACTTTGGTCCTCCTAGAGACTTGTCTCAAGGGTTTATCCCTTTCTATTAGCACAATAAGTTGATTTAATCCCTCATGTCCTCTGCAAGTAAGCTGTCAATTATTTTGGAGTTTACTGTCTCAAACTAGTGCAGTGGCTGCCTTATTTTTGTTGTTGTTCCCAGCTGCACTGTTGCTAACTTTTGTGCTCTGTTTTTCTTACTCTGTTTTTGTATAGCAACATATACGCAGATCCAGCCACACTCACTGATCCAACAGCAGCAGCAGATCCATCTGCAGAAGCAGGTGGTGATCCAGCAGCAGATAGCCATTCATCACCAGCAGCAGTTCCAGCACCGCCAGTCCCAGCTCCTCCACACAGCCACCCATCTCCAACTGGCTCAACAGCAGCAACAGCAGCAAGCAGCATCTCTGACCCAGCAGCAGCAGCAGCAAGCTCAGCCTCCGCAGCAGCAGGCTCCCCCTCAAAACCAGCAGCAGGCACAGACCCTTGTGGTGCAGCCTATGTTGCAGTCCCAGCCACCGCATTTGCAGCTCCAGCAGGACAGTCCGTGCCAGCCAGCCACCAAGTCACCCGTTCCTATCCAGTCAAAATCTCTGGTCACCCCCATCAAACCCTCTCAGCTTGGGCCTGCCAAAATGTCAGCCACACAGCAGCCTCCGCCACACATCCCAGTGCAGGTAGTGGGCACTCGGCAGCAGGGCTCAGGCCAAGCCCAAGCGCTGGGCTTGGCTCAGATTGCTGCAGCGGTGCCAACGTCCCGGGGAATGCCAGCTGTAGTCCAGCCTGTTTCCCAAACCCATGCTGCTTCCCCATCATCGTCTTCAGCTCCAGCATCCTCACAGGAAGCTCCCCCTCTCACCACAGGGGTGAATTTGGCACAAGTTCAAGGCACAGCCCACATGGTGAAGAGCCCAGCTTCCTCTCCAGTTGTGGCTCAGATGCCAGCAGCATTCTACATGCAGTCTGTCCAGTTGCCAGTAAGTGATACCATTGAGAAGGAGAATAGCATATGGATTCTCTTTGTTCATTCCTAGGACACCAATCGCAGTCCAGGCCCAGGTCAGTGGGATGGGATGGGTAAGGGGTTTGGGGAAAGGGATGTGGAGACTTTTTTACCCTCAAAAACACTAATTCCAATCCAACCCCTGGGGTTACTGACTACAAGCATTTCTCTTCCACATTTTCATTCAAAGGCTTGCATGAAGTTGATAGATGAGACTCAGAGCCTGCCCCAGCTGGGGTGGGTGTCCACATCACATACTGAGTATCCCATTTTACAATGGGGTTTGGTTCGTCTTGTCTGGCTGCTGGATGACCACCAAGTTGCTGCTCCATCACTCTCCCTTCACAACATGAGAGGAGGAGAAAAATACAGTGAAAAGCTTGTGGGTTGAGATAAGGATATGGAGATCACTTTCCAATGACCATCATGGGCAAAATAAACTCAGTTTGTGGAAATAATTTATTTTACTGCCAATTTAGTATAGGATAATTGAAAATAAGCACAAATGCAAAAAACACCTCCCCCTCTTCACAGGCTCAGCTTCACTCCTGACTCCTCTACCTCCTCCCCCTGAACGGTTCAGGAGGACAAGAAATGGGATCTGTGGTCAGCTCATAAGGTTTTGTCTCTCCCTCATGCTTTTCCCTTGCTTTAGCATGGGGGAATCCCTCCCATGGGATACAGTCCTTCATAAAGTCCTTCTCCAGTGTGGGTCTTCCCCACAGGCTGCAGATTTTCATTAACTGTTCCAGTGTGGATATTTCTGGGTTACAGATTCCTTGGTGTGTGGTACCAGCCACTGACTCTAGGCCTCAGAGGATTCCCTAGCAACAGGCTATGCAGAGGAAAGCTCAAATTCCATAGGCCTTGTCCATGCTGTTGTGAATTGTGCAGCTAGGGCCCACCTAAATCCCTAAGACAACAGCACTTTGCCAGCTCAGATCATTGAATCATAAATAACTGGAGTTAAAAAGAATCCTGAAGATCATGTAATTGCAGCACCCCTGCCATGGGCAGGGACACCTTTCAGTGGACTAGGTTGCTCCATCCGACCTTGACCTCCTTAGCCAGTTGCTGAGACTCTTTCTAAATTCTGTCTGCTTCTTCAGGAAGGTGTCACAGGATTTGTCTTGATTTTTAGAGCAGGGGGTCAGTTCTGCTCCTGGTGAGTGTGTGTCCCCTACTCTTTCGGCTTTTTCATTGAAAATTAACTGATTTATCCAAAAAAACTGTTTGGAAACTGCTGGGTGAATGCCATTCCATTTCTTCCTGCAATAATCCTTTGAGGTTCACACAGTGTCTTGGTCTTATACCAGTGTATCAGCATGACTTGGGACATCAGATCCTAGTCTGTGGCATAGTAGTGAGTGTCCTCAAGCTTTGTTCCTTCCTAGGCAAATGCTCCCACGTAGAGGTAAGTACTGAGGGAGCTAGAGGTGTCTCCAGAAGAAACCACCAGGCTGGAAATCAAATATGGTTGAGTGGGATGCTTTTTTTTTCTTTTTTTTTTTTTTTTTTTGGATCTGGCTTGTTCTTTGCTTTGGAGCTTTTCTGTCTGTTTACATGTTCTGCTTTATTCATGCAGGGCAAATCTCAGACCTTGGCAGTAAAGCGCAAGGCAGAGTCAGAGGAAGAGAAGGAGGAGCCAGCCAGTGTCACCATACTCCTGCCTGCCAGGTCCTCTCCTGTAACAGACAGCCCCAAAAACATGGAGGAGAAGAGTGCCCTTGGAGGTGAGGTACAAAGGAGAGCTCTGCTTGTGTGTGCTAATGACCTGAAGTAGGTAGAGCAAAGTTAGCTCACTCCTGTGCTGTTAACTTTCCAGATAATTCTGATACCGCTGCCATTGCAACCCCAAATGCCACGTCAAGTGAAGGAGTCTCAGCCACCCCCACCTCTGCTTCCACCCCAAACTTGGCATTGATGTCACGTCAGATGGGAGACTCCAAACCTCCTCAAGCCATCGTCAAGCCCCAGATCCTCACACACATCATTGAAGGCTTTGTCATCCAGGAGGGAGCAGAGCCCTTTCCAGTAGGGATTTTTTTGTTGTGGGGGAAGAGGTGTAGCACTTTCTTGGGAGGGTGGTGGGCTTCCATCTTTGCATAGGAGTATCTTTCCCCATGTTCCAATTCTACATTTTTAGCCTGAGACACAGACAGTAAAGAGGAAGGGAAGGGAGGGCGGTGTCATAAATGAAGCAAGGCATTAAGAGATGTCATTAAAGAGAAGGGGTTTGAAGGAGTAAAACAAGTGCTGCAGCAACTGCTTACTCCAGTTGTCACCAAAGCAATAATTAATGCAAGAATTGTAAGGAGGCCCTCCTCTCTGTGAGGGAAAGATGCATTTTGAACAGGCAGCAAGTAAAGTTGAAGTAAAGAAAGGGAAATAGAGTTACATGGAATTGGACATTGTTCAAGACAGATAGTGCTTGGGAATCTTTAAATGAACAACAAAGTCTGTGAGTCAGGAAGCAGTAATGACTTTTTTCAGCATCTCTGCTTCCCTGTTAGGCAGAGAGATTCTTCTGAGTTGAATTTTGAGGTGCACATACCTTGGCAGAGGGTGGTGGACACAGGGAATCCTTTACTAGTGGGTCCAACTCATTTTCTCCCTATCCAGGTGGGTTGTTCTCAGCTACTGAAAGAATCTGAGAAACCACTGCAGGGAGAGGCTCCTTCTGGTCAGAATGAAAACCTGTCCAGCAATTCTCTGGGAGAGGATAGTGCTTCCATGGGTGAGTTTCAGTACCAGGAGGACTAGCTAGTGTTGCTGAAAGTTTCTGCTCTGTATTACTAGCTTAATGCAATATGGACTTGTATCTCTTCCTGCCAGCTCCTTAGAGATTTGACCTATGAAACCAGGATGTTGCTTTTTTTGAGCACCAGAAGACTGACAATGCTTTTTTTGTTGTGAATATAATTTAACACTTCCTGTGTCAGTAGTAAGCAGGAGATGCTGAACTGTACCTGTCTTTAATGACTGTAGGCTGTGAAGGATGTGTGGACAGAGCAGAGTGATGGAGATTTCCTCCACAGCCTTGTAGGATGTGAGGAATATGCTGGTTTTTGTTTGTTCCATTAAGTGATACTGACCAGGACAAAAACACTGCTCTGTTTGATATCCTGGGGTCCTAATTAGCAGAGCTTTTGCTTTTCTTTTCCCAGTTGCTTCCCCAAGCTAACTGCTTACTAGAGTCAGTAGAAAATAGTGCTTGGCGTCTGTCTGCTCAGAAGAAGAGCAGTGGAATGGGGAATCATTGGGTGTGTGATATGCTTCAGTTCAGATCGCCAACTGGTGTGTGTCTCTGTATCTTGCTAGAGCTTGACAAGAAGGCAAACTTGTTGAAGTGTGAATATTGTGGGAAGTATGCCCCAGCAAGCCAGTTCCGTGGCTCCAAGAGGTTTTGTTCCATGACCTGTGCTAAAAGGTAATAAGGAATATTACATCTTGCTGTTATCTGTGGCTACATGTTTGCTGGAACTGGGCATGTGTCCCTTCTGCAAGTAGTGTACCACCTTTCAGTACATCTGATCCTCCCTCTGTGGCATGCACTGGCCACAGAGATCCTTTACCACTCTAAATGATTTGTAAATGCTTCTAGGTCTGCAGGGGTGGATGTGATGCTGAGTATAAACAGGATTTCTGGCTTGCTCAGAAAATGTACTGGGATGGGGAAAATTCTGGGGCGGTAAAGAACCTCTCTTCAGAGAAACGTACATTTGACTGACTAAATAAATGCATACTGGTAGCTGTCTCATGCATTGGTACTAGACAAAGACACAAGGGAGCATTGGGGAAAAAACTGGGGAAAAGTTAGACTAGTCATTGTTGCCTCTTGTTGATAGCAGAGTGCTTGTTGTGGGTCTTTTTTCCCTTAGGGGAATTACTTAATTGACCCTTCAGATGTTAGATGGAGACTCTGGTGTCTAAATATTGCTTGTGTCAGAAGTCTGGAGTGGCTCCTTCCAAGGGGAAGTCTTAGAAGGAGGAGGAACAGAACTTGATGGTAAAGAGGAGTCTTATCCCCATCTAGAGCAAGGAGAAGTAGTTGGTTTAGATACTTGCTGCTTGCTAACTGCTGATGTGCTTCTGCTTACTTGAGGTACAATGTCAGCTGCAGCCATCAGTTTCGGCTGCAGAGAAAGAAGATGAAGGAATTCCAGGAAGCCAACTATGCCCGTGTGCGCCGACGGGGACCACGGCGCAGCAGCTCCGAAATCGCTCGAACGAAGATCCAGGGCAAGCGCCACAGGGTAAGGACACACACCTGTCAAGGCAGGTCTGTGTAGGGTTTGTCCCTTCTGGCTGTACCACTTTGTCACAGTGGATGCAGTCGTGCAGGATGTGCCATGCTGACACAGTTGTTACACAAGGCACGGGGAGCTGCTCTAATCCCTCATGGACTGCAGGAAGTGTATTCACGTTTGTACTTGTTCTGTGCGCTCTGTGTTCGCTCCCGTGTGCATCTTGAAGGTCTCAGTGAGTGAGACCAGCTGACAGCCTTGGCAGAAAACAATCCACTTTCCCCATTTGATTAGCAGTCTGTCACATGAATTACTTGAATTGGGCAATAGATGAGTTGAATGAGCCTCAGTTCTGATGTGAGGAAGAGAGGGAGCTCTTGTGTCAGCTGCCCCTGTACCAACAGCCTGGGACAGTTGTTCCAGACTGTTGGGACAACTTCTGCTGCTCCCAATGTCTTGTTTTGCAGCTTGTAATTGTGAGTTTCTTATAAAACCCCTTTTATTTGTTTTCTTTCCTCTGGGCTTGTAGGGCCAGGAAGACTCGAGTCGAGGCTCTGATAACTCCAGCTATGATGAAGCTTTGTCCCCTACATCTCCAGGACCCCTGTCAGTAAGGGCCAGTCATGGAGAGAGGGACCTGGCAAACTCTAATATGGCCCCCCCTGCCCCAGATCTACATGGCATCAATCCAGTCTTCCTGTCCAGCAATCCTAGTCGTTGGAGTGTGGAGGAAGTGTACGAGTTCATTGCGTCATTGCAAGGTGAAGTTAAGATCCTCTCCTGCACTCCTGTGATCCAGTAGCATGGGGAGATGGGGCTCAGTGGTGCCTACTGCTTTTGAACATGTTTCTGAATTGGAGTAGATCATAGAGATGGATTCTCAAGATTTATTTCTCAAGTAGCCTGTGTGTTCAAGGAGACTGTGGACTAGAGTGGGGAAAGGGGTTGGTTAGAGTCTTAGCTTGCTTTTCTGTACCTGCCAGAGATGTGGGAGGAATGAGGGGAGTGCCCAATGCACATGTATTACTGCTTTTTTTTCTTTGCTTCACAGGGTGCCAGGAAATTGCTGAGGAATTTCGGTCACAGGAAATTGATGGTCAGGCCCTGTTGCTTCTGAAGGAGGAACATCTCATGAGTGCCATGAACATCAAGCTGGGACCAGCTCTCAAGATCTGTGCCAAGATCAATGTCCTCAAGGAGACTTAAGAACTCTGAAGCCAGAGGTCTCACTTTTGCTCTGACCCCAGGGCAGCTGCCAGTTTTGGAGCATCCTGCTGGGGCAGGGAAGAATGGGACAGTCCCCTGTGGTCTTGCATTCAAGAAGAATGAGGAGGAATTTAACTGATTGAAACTGCCAGGCACAAGCCCATCTCTTGGTCTCTCAATGGTGCTACAAGGTTGAGGAAAACTGCCACCTGGGGCCTTTAAACAACTTTCCTTCTTCCTGATTTTGAATATGCCTCCCCTGTATACACCACATAAAGATGTTAAGGGGATCTCTTTCTGTCTTGAAAGACTTCTGAAAGGGAATTGCCCTCAACCCTTTCTGCCACAGCAGATCTGCTAGATCTTAGCTTTGAATATCATTGCCAGAACACAAGGCATAGGAAGAGCTGGCCCCACATGGACAGTGGGAGCACCGGTGCTTGGGGCTTTTCTGAAGGGGAAATAGCACATTGCAAGTGTCAGAGGTGACAAACAAGAATTTGAGTAAAAGGGGCTGCTGCTATTCCACTCTTAAAAATACCTAGGCTGCTCATGAACTGGGTTTAATAGCCATTCCAGCATGCATACCAAACTTGAAGGCCTGTGGCAATAGGAGCTGTCTTGTCTTCACTCTGCATGTCTACAGGAGACAGTAAAGCTAAAGTGTTGTGGCAGCTATTCACTCCAGGTGCTCCTCTCAGAACCAGTCAGAGGATTTTTCATGAGTACTTATGACAAAATGATGGGAAACTCAAAGGGGAGGGGATTGTTTTACATTAGGGAACCTTGCAGCACGAGGTCTGTCTTCCCATTGTGTTAGAGTATAATTTACAGATCCAAAGCAGTCTCCAGAAGCACCAAGGCTTTTAATTAAATGGGCTGGGGTTTTGTTTTGTGTGTTTTCTTACCAGTTTGTATTCTTTCCTTTTTGTGTCTGTCTTTGTTATCCTCAGGAGAGCTTACAGGACAAAATTTAGGCTGACAGGATTGTACTGCTTGCCTCAGGCGTTCTGGTTTTTTATTTTTGTTCGTGGGTTGTGTTTTTTTTTTTTTTTTTTTTTTGGGGGTGTTTTTTTTTTTTTTTTTTTCGGGGTTTTTTTTTTTTTTTTTTTTTTGTTTGGTTTTTTTTGTTGTTGTGTTGTAAAACAAGTATTTCTCAGTTACAAGAAACCAAACACACACCCTATAAGAACTGAATACTGATCTTTTGATATGACTTGTCATTTCTAAAGGGTAGAATTTATGTTACAGGCTGATTTTCTCCTACTCAGCCCCTCCAGGTTTGCTTAGGGGTTCTTTGGTTGTTTTAATTTTTTAAGGACCAAATGTGGTATTCTGCAGTTTTGTAGCCAAATTGCCAAAGGTGAAAACCTGGGCAGAGTTATTCTCTTCCACAAGCACCTCTGCTTCAAACAGGGAAAACACCTGAAGGAGTTACACAGACTGTGAAGAGGTAAGTGCCCTCTAGAGCCAAATACCTGAAAGCAAGATGGTGTTACAAACCATGTGTCTCAGCTTTTCTGTTTTCATAAGTTTCACGTGAATATTTGAGTGAAACATAAGAGTGTTCTCTGTGTTAAGCACCTACTGTTGCAGGAAAGCTGTAGTGGCATGGGAGAAAGCCTTATAGCATAGGTAGGAAAACATTAGAGATCTTTAAAATGGGCTCTTTATTGACCCATGTTAGAAAAAAAGAGGAAGGAAAGTGCTTAGGAGACGGATAAAATGTGGCGGCAGCTTCCTAGTCCTAAATGTGCTGCTGAATCTCACTTTTCTGACATCCTTTTTCATGTGAGAAGACTGAGGCTTTGTGAATGTAAATAAGCCCAAAGGAAGCTGCTGGTGCTTGCTTGCACCCTGGTACCACAGTTTGGTCTGATGTAACCTGGGGACAGGGGAGGGGGAGGTTAGAATCAGCAGTGAACAGAGAAGGCTGCCCATAAACCATTTTATCCTTAGCAGGCTGGGTGTGGTACAACTCCTGCTTAGTTTGACCTTTGGCAGGGTAGGCAGACAGGGAGCCTGCCACTGTTACCAGCTACTCCTGAGGACTGGATTTTATTTCAGTCAAATGGGAAGGCTTCACTTCTTCATTTCATGTTCAGTGTTCTTAATAAAAAAATGCTTGATCAGGCTTTGCAGGTCTGGCTGCTTTTTAACCTCCGAGTGTTTGGAAAGTACAAATCTCATCACTAAGTTACTTTTGACTGTCATTTCTGCAGAAAAATACAGAGCATAATCCATCCATAAGTTTCAGCTTTGAAAGATGTGGATAGCCTTCCCTCATAGGCCTGAGAGGACCTGGAGTGAAACGAGGTGGCAGCAAAAACCACGAACTAAGAAAAGCATGTTCATTACTGGCAAGAGTTCAGGCACAAGGCACCACACACTAAGGATCCTTTACTTTTCGGTGAGAATAAAGGTGCTCTGGCACCAAAGCAATGTCTTGCTACATCAGCACAACACTTCACCGGGTTTTTTGGTCACTTTATTTTTGAAAGTTTTGTTTTGTACAAAAAAAATTACCTTAGACACCACCATGAAAACAGTAAAGGACTTACTGACTTCCTATTTTTCCCCTGTTATGAGAAAGATTGAGACTGTAACAAAACTCAAAGAAAGCAGGAATTGCTTGTCCACTCCAAACCCAGAAAGAAAGCAGGGCCACCCCTTTTCTCTCAATGTCTTAAAAATACATGAACTTTGTCTGTACTCTGCCGTTAACACAGTGGTGGCTTATTCAGTCTCTGCCCCCCCCAGACTGAGGGCACTTCTCAGCCAGTCCACACAGTAGGGTAGAATGGGATTGCTCAAGAGTCTAGCCTCTCAAATAAAAAAGCAATTTAGAATCAAGGTGTGAAGTTCCTGAAGGTTCCCATTAAGTCTACAACTCAAGTGTACCTGCTTTTCGCCAGGGCCCAAAGAGAAGGTCTTTCTCACTCCCAGCCAGTGGCAGTATGTTAAGTACCATCTGCGCAGGGCAAGTGTCTTATGACTGGCCTGCACTGTGCTTAAGGGGACAGTGATTCATGAAAGCTGACCATGTAAGAGTCCCTTATGCAGTTCTCGGTGTGTTAGCATTCTTAGCCAGGATTTCCATGGTTTCTTTGATATAAAAATAAATTCTGACGGCTTTGTAGGAAAACCCTCTGCAAAACAAGGAACTTCTGGGAAGTGTGAAATCACAATGCTGACAGTGACTGAGGTGTGTGGGCAGTCACCTCAGGAAGCCTGTGTCAGAACTGAAGTGGCAGCTACCTGTCTCATTTTGTCTTGATGTCACTGTCAGTTTCGGCACATGTTCTTTTTCCTTAGCAGCACATCTTTTCCTTTTGCTTTCCAGCGATTGAGAAGACTGAGTCAATACTTTGACTGAAATCAATATTTTGACTCCATTTAACTCCTATGGTTTTTCAGCATTGCCCCTCTCCAGTCTGAGAGGATGGCATGCATCCCTTTACAGCTGTTGAAAGGAAACTGTTGAGAAGTTCACACCACTGCCATTAGGGAAAGAAAAGATTGCAGAGGTGCGAATGCCTCTTCACCCCCAGAGTCTGGCACAGAGCACTCTGTGCCAGTTATGCTGGCAGAAATTGTATAACAGCGCAGAAGCTAGAAAAGCTGAAAATGCATTCAATGAAAAATAATTCCAGTGTCTTACAGATCCTGTAAACCCTAGGGAAAGAAATAAAAAGACACAGAATATCCCTTTTACAGTGTCAGCTGTTTTAACCCATAGCCTTTTTTCCTTTCTGCACCCATCCATGCCCCTTTTTTCCTCTTAGTGATTCACCTCCCATTCCTGCTCAGTGCTGAACTGAGCAACTCATATTGCTGTTTCTGCTCAACTGTCAACACTTCTCCCCTGAGCTCTGCTGCACTTTTAAAACCCAACCCAGCATTATATTTATAAGACATGCCATTAGGAACCAGTGCTGTTCACATCCAGAGGCATCCATGGGACTTGACACATCAGAGACAGCGGAAGCAATCAGTGTAAAGAAAATCAGAAGTGAGAGAAGGAGAACTGGCTGGAGGCACCTGGCTAAACAAGCACTGGGGAGATGGGGAGAAAAGATCTTAGTGTGGAAAGCCTATCACATGGGCAGCAAGTGGTCATCCCGTTCTTCTGACTCCTCTCCCAGCTGGTCGTCCCCCACGCCGCGGTAGGCGGCTGGCGCGTTCCGAGGCTTGGATCGGCACACAAAGTCACAGCCATCCTACGAGCACAGGACACAGCATCAGCCTGCTTGCAATTGACTCAGCATCCAAACCAAAGCAACTCCTGTGATTTCTCTTTTGCTAAGGGATTATGCCCATCCTTGTGCTACCTGAAACATCTCCCCAAAACCTGGGGAAAAAAAACATCCTGCTCTAAAAGCTCTGGACAGCTATGCAGCAACATAAGACCAAGGCAAGTATGAAGGATAAATAGCACTGCCTACAATGACCAAGGAAGGACTTCACAGTCAGAAATAAGCACTTCACAGTGCCCAGGTGAACATTTCTACCCGGAAAGTGTTAAATCCTGAGGAGCACATGTGTTCTAGTTTGTTATGGAGCAGTTGCAGGAAAGAGGCAGGGAACTGGTCTCAGCAAGGATTAAAAAATGGCATACTCAAGAAAAAGGAAACAGATACCCTCTTCTGCTTCAAAATACTCCACCCTGGTGGTAGGTCTACCCAAACCACAGAGTCAATGCCTTTTTCTCCTCATGTGGGCTAGGCTGAGAATACATAAGAATTTTTACTCACTGCCACCAAATTGCCCAGATCTTGCCAGAAGGCAAAGTGAGGAATCTGCTCCATGCCCTTTGCTCCCACAACGAGGCGCTGGTAGAGGAACCCACCAATGATGTAGACTGCAATCAGTGACACAAACCTAAAAGGCAGAATTAAAAAAAAAATTAATAAATAAAAGGAAAATCAAAGCTGAGGAAATCCTACAGAAAATCTCTTCTGAGCCAGCTACCTGCCTTACATTAGCATTGGAACAGTGCTAGCACCACTCAAGAACAGAGCTGTAAACAGAAACCAGACCATAAAAGGTCCCCAAGTTATCAACCTGCTTGTATAAATCTTTTAGCAGCATTATGTGAAGTAGTGCCTCTAAGCACAAACACAGAAAATGAGTCAAGGCTCCTGGTCTGAGTTCCCAGCTCTGGCAAAGAGCCATCCAGGAAGATGTTTACTAGGAACAGACTGGCCCAGCATCATGCCCTGAGCAAGAGCTTTTGACCAAAAAGCTCAGAGGCATAGTAACATCTAATGGTGGCTGTGGCAAAGTACACTGCAGTAATTTAGTCTTACTATGGCATTTGCTACGTTTCTAAATAGCACTGGAGATTATGACTCAGGCACAAACAGCTCTTCAAATGACTCACGTGATCAGTAGAATGGAGCCAGCACTGAGGTGGGAATTCTCAGCTGGACAAGCCACACTGCTGTCCATTTCAAAGAGGTAGAAACACTCCTGCTCCTTTTCCCGCTCTTCAGAAATAATGCTGAATGAACTCTGCAATTTGGGAAAAGTGAGGTCATGTGAAAACATGCCCACGCACACTGAATTTCACCAGTTTTATCACTGTTGGTGCAGCTGGGCACCAGACACTGGAGGCCAGCTCACTGTCCCCTCAAAACCCCTCTGCTCACAACCAGCCATTGGTCTGGCAGCCCCCTGGTGCTCTCTCACCCCAGGTGTCACTCACCGCTGTCACTCCCCGCTTGCAGGAAATCATTATCACAGCTCGCCTCTTCTCACCACTGCAGTGCCTGCCGTATGAATCACCTCCTTTATAAATCAGCATGATCCAGTCACCTGCCAGGAGAGAAACAACACAGGCTACAAGATCAGGAGGCAAAAGGCAGCTACTGAGTAAGCCAAGTATTGAGTGGAATCGTACTTCCATTGAAGACCTGGGTTTCATTGATTCTTCCTATCACCGTGGTCTTTCCATTCTGCCTATCTGTTTGTACCAGGCCACCGAAGTCGTGCGAGGTGCTGTTGACCTCCCT